AAATCAGACACATGAGCTTAAGTATTACAAATGTATAAATAAAGAGCAAAATAAAAGACATTATCAGAAATAGTGACACAGATCTTTTACAAAGGGAAGGGAAGTGGGGAGGGAGGTAAGAGGAAGTGGGTGAAAAACAGAATTAAGATGTGCTATGTGTATGACCCAACTCAGGGAATGTAATCAATATTTACTGCAAACATGTAACAGAAGCTAAAAATTTAAAAAGAGATAATTGTGAAAGAATCAAAAGTTCATCTTATATGTTTTCTTTTACTCAAATATTACTGGCCTGAACTGCATGTTTAGTTCTTAAAAACAATTGCCTCATTTATTTTTATAAATCAGTTTTACAGTTACTTCTGGTGGGAAGGAGAGAGGGCAGAAGGTTGTAAACACTTAGGAAAAAGAAATAAAAAGAATGGAGCCAAGTGTCCATTGTAGAAAATTTGGTATGTGACTGATGCCTCCTTTTAAGAAAGCACAAACAAGAATGGTGTATTTTAATGGGTAAAATGCTAGATCATAATCAAATTCAGAATTAGGCATCTTTGAACAAGATGAAAACAGGGAGAGCTGTTTGTGTTTGAGTATCCAATGTTAAGATGTCAGTTATTGAGAGGATTATTCAAGACTGTTTATGTCACTTAAGGGACCTCTTGGTGGGTTCTAAAATGAGTATTGTAGAAGATTATTTCAAGCTTATGATCACTAATAATGTAGCTAAACATCAAAATGGGCAGCAGGAGAACACCAATGTGCTATTTATATTTTAATCTAATCATAGGTTCTGTCACAGTTATTCAGTACAGTTTTCTCATTTTCTATGGTGGGAATGGGGAGGAGACAGAGAGCAGAGGAGGGATCAAGGAAAAGAGAGTTATTTATTGATTTCAGAAAATTAAGATCATTTAAAATTGTGTGCTTAGAAATCGTGTTGTTTTGTTTCTTGGCTTTGGTATCTTCTTTCTAAAATAAAACCTACTGAAAACATGGCTCTTTAAAATCAAGTGAATTGGAAATCTATAAAGTTGTTTGTACAACACACTGAGTAAGCTGGGTAAGTGAGTGTTGTGTTGGAAAGACAGGAACATCACGGTTTCAGGTATATATAGATCCTTCTGTGATCAGATCCTCTGATATGTGACTTCACTTCCCTGGGACTAAGCTTTTCATCTATAGATTGAGCGAATCACTCAAATTCAATATGTAAGAATGTAGAATTAATTGAGTGTATAACACTATCAATTAACTACATTGGGATCTCAGATCTTTTGTAGAAAGACTTTAGGTCCTTGGATAAGTAACTTAGTCATTCTGCTCCATATTTTCATCACTGTAAAGTAAGCATTATTAGAATACATACTTTACACGGTTTTTGAGAGAATTAAATGAGAAGTTAAATATAAAAGAGACAACAGTAACCTAACAGCACTAATGTGTGTTGTCGATGGTCTCTGCTGCTAGGAAAGAATGTGTGTCTTTTCGTCAGACTAAATGAAGAAACAAAAACCCAAAGATGAAGAAATACTTAGAAACAATAATTTGGGGGCTGCAAAATTGTGGCCTTCTTCCTTTTCTAAAAGTCACTGATAAAAAGATATAGATTTCAAATTTCTAAAGCAGAAAGCGTAGTAACTTTGATCATTGAATATCTACCTCTTCCTACATTTTTTATGGTTAGGTTTTTGATGTTTACTTGAGAAATGAGTCAATTACCCATAAATTTTGCAAAATACACCAACCAGTTATTTAACAAGTATGCCGATTATAGTGCACTGTTCTAGTTCTGTTGGCTATCCTGGAGGCTATGCAACATGCCTCTGTGGAGAAGATGAAACGCAACCTCTAGACTATGTTTAAAGAGCAAATCAACAAGTAGAAATCAATACCCTATAAAATGAATGTCTAAGTAGTGGGGAATCCTTTGGAAAGCTGTCTTCAAAGCAGTAATATAAACTAGAAGAGTGGGAGTGGTATACATAAGGAAAGACAAAGACTACCAAAATTCAATCACAGAGCACTTAAGGCCAGAAAAAAACATGAAAGTACATGTTTGCATTTCCTCTACCTTTTTTTTTTTCAATTTTTATTGTGCTCTGGTTTTGTTTTGAATTAATTTATAACACACTTTATCAATACCTTCTGGAAACCAGCAATAACAAGAGTCTCAAAATAATAGCATAAGATGAGAAAATTGAATAAAATTAAACCATTTGAAAACCATTTTAATTTTAGTTAAAAATAGCTTAATTGCTAGGAGTATTTTTTTATAAATCCTTATTCTTACTGTTTGTTTTCATTCAATAACATATTTACAGAGAAACATGTAAAAAATATCTTAAGCATATACTTTCATTATGAATGCTTGAATTAGATACAATTTCAAACCAAATGAAATTTATACTTTTATGACCACCTATGATCTTCTTAAAAAACAAATGGAATAACAATACAATAAGTCTTACAAAGCAATTTAAACAAGAGAGTGGCATCCTTCTCCCAAAAAACACATATGAAAAGTTTGTGAATTTTAATGTGATGGAAATCATGTAGGATTTTATTGTGATTCCTCATACACAGCAATTGGGACTGTGTTGGATAAGTGGAAATGTTAATACACTATCAAAACCCAAATGGTTGAATTTTCTTGTCAATTTAAACTCAGCTAAATAACTGAGAATTAAGAATGACTTAAAACATAAAAAACTTCTAACATCTTAAGAAAGCCATCATCTAATGAAAACCTTATGTGTATCAGCTATGTGAATTAGTCATTTTATATTGTAGCCTTATCTTTGACCAGTAGTGGTATACTCACTGACAAACTTTATGAAATTCCCTTCTCTAGTTTCATAGTAGATTAATTATAATCTAAGGCTATTTTGATTTGCTCTAATATTCCTGTCTTTCTTGGTTATAAGTAAATGTTAACATGACAATAGAATAGATGATGATCTGTTCTATTCTAAGAATGTGTATTTTTTGTTTTGTTTCTGTACTATCTAATCCCATTCCAGGTTGATAGAGGTGTTCTATTAAAATTTGTGGAGCAGGTAAGTAGGTTAAGGGGCAAACCTGTGATTGATGAGTGGTGAGTGGAAAACCTTCACTACTGGCAAAGAAAATACAGAAAACTTATCTTCTAAGAGGGAGTCAATAGATCATTTCTGCATAATAAAACAGGGCCATTCTATAAAGCAGGTACCTGTACTGACTTATTTTTACTTGTTTTATAATAAGTGGCAAAAGCACGGAGTGAGAAGTTGCATTAAGTCACAGGTGGGTGCTTTGAAAACAAAAGTTTTTAAAAATTCTTCATTTCAAAGCAAGTTTGGGAATTTGGAAATTATGTTTACAAACACTTTCTGTTCCACTAATATACTCTGGATGGCCATCAAGACACTGAAAAAAATTAGCTCATGAAAGTAGATTTGTTTGGCAAGATAATTGGTTTGATAATTTTCAGCATATTCTGAAAGAAGACAGTAAGTAGAAAAACATTTTGACATGAACAAAGACAATTTTCATCTAGAAGTTACCAAGGTTCTATGTTAATGAATATCAGAGCTTGCATTAACACATTAGAAAATTTTAGCAGAATGTGTGTGTGTGTGTGTGTGTGTGTGTGTTTTGAGTATGTGGATATTAGTGGGTATCACTAAGAGTATTAAATTAACACTCCTTTAAATGTACAGACATTTAGTATCCAGATACATATTGATTTTTCTTATTGAATTATTTTTTGAGGTGTTATATTTTAGCTTGAGATATATGTTTGGCTTCAAGTCCTTCCAATCTTACCATTCTGGCAGAAATGGAACAGTATGATATGTCATTGCTGTCTTTTACCAGAATCTCCACATTGACTTCTGGGAATACTTGAAACTCTAATCACAGATGCATGAGGATATATCATTTTGTGGCTTGTTAAAAATCAATTTTTGCACCTGTGTCCATGAATATATGGGGCATAATCACTCACACGAGTCTCCCTACAGACTCAGACTAACTTCTCAATCCTTTCTGTGCATCATGTTCAAAATAATAATTTGGTTTTGTATATACATTACTAAATATGGTTGTTGTTGCTAAATATATATACATATAGTTCTTAAAGGCTACTCTGAAGATCACTAAGCAATTATGCTTATTAAAATCTTTGAACATTTCTATGGAACATTTATTTGTATGAAAGTTATCAGTGGAGCAAAAGTTGATCGTGCATGGGTATTTTCTCTATTAATGGAAGTCAAACCTCCTTATGAAGTTTAAACACCATATTTTTCATATGGACATAAACAATTATACCATTCAAATGTGTGGCAGATTGCCCCAAAATTAGTCATTTACTTTCTTAGACTCTGTTCATCCCTGTGGGCAAATATTATGTTTATAGTGTGTTCATTATTGGTTAATACCTCATAGTCTGTATCTTGATATGAACAATGGTGGCTCTGAATTTGCAACACTTTCTGCCCCTCTAAGGTCTTTCTCACACATGCTATAAAGGTGACCCAATTTTCATACTAGAAATGCTGACATTCACTGGACAGTCAGAACTCACAAAGGAAGTTCTCCTTGACCACAGTATCACCTGGATTTTGTGCTAGCTGCAAATGAATTTTGCACATTGTATCTTACTGCTTGGTTACCTATGAATACTACAGGTAGAGTCAGGAAATTACTGTGAATACTACACAGTCACTTACATGAGAGAGGAGGTATCTGCTATAATGTGTCTTAATATTAATGTTTATTAGTACTGACTTCTTAAATATATAAATAGTAACATGAACAGGGACATGCCCCCTGTAAAAACACCTTCTGTAGCACAGAAACTTCTTCTCTGTTAGTATCTTGAGAGGCATTAGAGCTCTTCATGCACTGTCTTAGGATCTCATTATTGATTAAATAGTGATTAAGACATGGCTCCTAGTCTTAAGACATGGTTCACAATTCTTGAATTAAAATGAAGAAATGTTTTTTGTGTGCTGCAGGTATGTTTCATGCAGTTGTCTTGTGGGACTTTGAGAGATGCTGCAGCCTGTGACATGTGGGAATTATCATGATCAACTACTCAGTTTGGATTTCACCCAGTGGCCAAGAGCTTTGCGTAGTAAACAGCAAGGGTTGGATTTTTAAAAAGAGTGAACCAGGTAAGTTTTGAGGGAGACATCTGATCATTTATCACTTGCTCTAAGGGCTTTAACGTGGTGCCAAGGTGTAATGAATAATGTATGGATTTTCCATTTGTTTTCTAAGTTCACCGAACAGACTGTTGAAGAATGAGTCTCCCTTAGCTTCAGGAGACTGAATATATAGCAATAATTGAATCCGCTTTCTCTTGAAAGGAGAGAGGAACTATTTTAAGCTATACATAAAGCAGACATGAGAATACTACAGGTGCTAGTTTAATGCAATTAAAGAAGATTCCTTCTTTAAGTAACTACTCTGAAGTATAATGGCATAAGTGGTTAAAATAACCTGTTATTTTGGGTTTTTTGAGACAGGGTCTTGCTATGTAGTTCAGTCTGGCCTTGAACTCACTATGTAGCCTAAACTGGCCTTGAACTAGCAGCAATCCTCCTGCCTCAGCATCCTAAGTGCTAAGATTACAGACATGTGCCACCACGCCTGGGTATAGATGGTTATACTTTTGAAAGTACAGCAGGAAAAATGTTGCCTTTAAGTATTTATATTTTAAACACTATAGAATTATGAATATTCATTAATGGCATCTGGTCTTATAAATATTCTTCAAGCTTACAATAATTTAGAAAATTATATAATTATTTTCCCCTTTTTGAGAATATTTATAATTCTAAATTCTATTCACATTATTGAAAATAGTGATAAAATGACATACTACATTATTATTTTGGCTCCAAGAATGTAAAATGTAACATTCTTATTGAGCTTTTTATCTAATTTTTCTATTTCATTCTGGAAACTTGTCTCAGTTAATTTCTATAATTTGGTCAGTTCTTATTTTTTTCTCCTTTGCTCTCTTCCAACCTTAAAATATAATTTAAATGACTAACAATTACTTGGGGAAACCACAAGTTATTCTCATCTTCTGACTTTAAGATCATCCAAATTTTTACAGACTCTTTTAATTTAATGCATCAGAAAGCAAGATTTTCTTTAGGTTCAAGTACAGAACAGAGAAAATTTAAGAAAAAAATTTTAAATTTGAAAACAATAGAGGTTTTTCTACCTCAAATGGTTGAGCTCTTTAAGTTTTGTTTTGCTTTGTTTGTTTACAAATATAGCTTTCTTACTTTCTGAAAACGAAGTAAATGAAATTCAGTATATTATAGCCTAGCATAATTGTTTGGATGTAAACAAGGACTTCCAAAGTGTTTGAAAACAATTTTTAATAAACATCCCTTCCTATTACCTAATGTCTTATGTGTCTATAAGAACATCTTAATCACAGATTTGAAATTTGTTGGAAATACTGTAGATTACTAAACTCATGGTAGAAATTTTTATTTGATGAACTGAACTAGTGGATAACTTTTGGTCCTTTTTAGTGACAAAGTGGGTTACTGACATTTAGAAGAGGTTTACCAGTGCATAAATAAAAGGGGAAGCAAAATGCAGAAGGCATTGTTGGACACAAAAATCTAGTTCCATGCTTCATTGCATTAGTATCTAGCACATAGCAAGAAGGTTTCATGATAGGATCCCATAGTTTTAACCTTGTATGTTTTAAAGTTTGTGTCCAAAATAAAGTTCACTATGATTACATTTATTTCAGTATTTTCAACAAAATTAGATTGCATGTTAAAACCTCAGAGTTCTAGATAAGGAGATTGAGAGGTTGATCAAATTAAGTCTATGGTATTTTGAAGATAAATAAATGTTCGGTAATGCAATTAGTAATTACTTTGTCACAAAAGCAGAGCTTACAGCTATTTCTAGAAAATGTATTTTAATTCTTTAGAATATTTTATCTTTCTGAACTGAGTAAGTCATCAATTTGGGGAAAGTATACAATAAGCAATTTTGATCTAACTATTATGAAGAAATATAACTTCTATTCACAAATCCTTTAAAGAAAATCTTGTTAATTATGTTGTACAGAGATATTGAATTTTGGTGTCCTGTATAAAAAAATATAATTTAAAAGTGTTCTCTGAAATACAGATGTGGCAATGAATGTATATGTTTCAGTTAAAGATTAATTATTTTCAAATGAGAATTTATTCATTTCAGCTTTATAGTTTATGTTAGGTTTACATTCATTCTTGTGCTTTGTAGTACAAATAGCAGTTGCATTTTTATGGTGATGTATCCTAGCCTCTCTGTTAAAAAGGAAGAGTATTAAGGCTTCCTGATACTGTTTTTAAAGTTTGTGGCAAAGCTGTAAAAATTTGAACTGTTCCTAAGCTTAGAAGCCATTTTTCTTTCTTACAGCATTTTTTAACGTAAAGGTTTGCCTAGCTCAGGATTATATTACTATATGCTCATACATAGAGGCCACTTTAAGCTATCAAGGATATCAAAGGTGAGTTTTTCCCAAGCATCCTGATGATAACTTGCCTCGTGTAGTGGGATATATGTTCTTTAAAATAATTCATGAAAAATATTTCAGTTGTACCTATGTATGTGATATCTGTCCCTGGCTTCCTGTAGAAAGCAATGATATTCTCACCTGCCTTGCACTTTGTACTCTGAGGCCTACTGAAGTAAATTCTTGAAAATTTAGTGAACCAACTGATGTCACAATGAAAAATCTTACATGAATCTTAATCAATGACCCTCTATTTACTTATCCCCAAATATTTTTCAGATGCTTACAACATGTAAAACAATAGGTGGTTAAAAACACATTATTACTCCCCTTTGCCTTGCTTTCAAGTAGCTTATACCTACAAAAGCAAAACAAACAAACAAACAAACAACAAAAAGCCCTGGACAGGTGAATAGCTCCTTCCAGGAAAACTAAACTAAAATTTGCAGCAAAATGTGTCAAGCAGAATTCTCCAGATAAGAAGAAGAAGGACTACTAAGACTGGTAAAAGTGTTAGGAGGTTTTGGAAACTTGAGGATAGAATTTTAATAGATGAGAAATGTGTTTAAAAGTACTCTATGCTCAGGACATAGTCTGATAAGGTTACCATGGTGCAAAAAAATAAGCAGTACATTGGAAGAATGGAAAACCTGACAGCTGGGCATAGAGAGATCCAAGAAGAGACTGCACACCTAATGACTGGGATGGAGTGCTTCTCATGCACAGGTATGGTGAGATATGAAATAATGAAAACTTAGAATCTGTGTTTTTATTATTTATTTATTTTTGGTACCGGGGATCAAACTCGGGTCCTTGTGCTTGCGCAGCAGGTGGCAAATCCATGGAGCTAAATTCCCAGCCTGTATTTTTTTAAAATGATGCTAGTAGAGGATGTAGTAGATAAAGGCAAGGTATGTGTAGAGAGAAATGATAACACAAGAGTGTTCAGTTTCTTTGGCACAGAAATGTGTGGTTTCTAGCCTACTGCATCATCAATGCATAGGAAAGTTCTGGCCCATCACTGACTCTTTATTCTCTGTAAAATGCTGACTAAATGAATATCTTTCAGTGACAATCAGTACTTCTCTACATTTGCAACTTTTCTCTTTTAAAGTTGTAGTTTAAAAACCCTTCACACAAAAGATAAAAGAATTTAACTTGTTTTTCATCACACCCATGTGCATGTACAGACACATGCACATTCCCCATACGCTCAGTATGTGCTTGAAATTAAACCTCAGATCCTCTGCTTGAAATTTATACTTCAATTAAGATGGGGGCAGCTGCTACCCTACTTTATTTCCCTTCTGAGACTTTTATCTCTCAGGTTTTATCCTTCCCTTCATCGTTTTATCATCACATCAATCACCATGTTTCATTCCTCTGGAACACAGCATGCATTGCAGGCACATTTTTATGGCTAGAAAGCCAGGCTACCCTACTTGGCGCTTACTGCTTACTTAAACCTAATTAAGTAATTCTGCTGAAAGTATCATATCCTTTTCCAACACAATGCACATTTGGTCAAAATAATAGGGAACGCATTAAAGCTGTGGGAAAACTGGAGAAGGGAGACTAAGGAAGACACCAAACACAAAACCGTGGCCTTCAGCCCAGCTATTTTTGACACAATCCTCTAATGATCCAAGGCACATTAACAGCTCTAGCAGAAGAAACTCCTAATTCCCAGCATCACTTTCACTTCTGTTATTTTATTGGAAATTACCATTGCTGTGAGTCCCCCCAGAGTCTACCAGAGTCAGTATATTTTGCATAATTGAGTCATCTGTTTTCAAAGAAGTTCTCTTACAGTCTCGGAAAAATACAATACATTCTCTCCAAAAATGTACACTAGAGAAATATTATTATAAATAAAATGTAAAATTCTTGAGGCCAGAGTTTTGTTTTTCTTCTTTAACACCTAGTTCCAAGTCTTATGTACTTTTATATACTTATTAAATATGTCCAATGTCTGACTGAATAAAGGAATATCAAAATCTATGCTTCACAAAATTATAACTTCTATATTTTTAGTTGTAGGAAGCATCTCTTGTTAGTGAGAATAGTTGGTACTTGGTTCACTCCAGCATTGTTAGGTTAAGGGGATTTTATCCTTTCATGGTTATCCATATGGCCAATATTTAGTAACAGAGTAATATACACAAAGAATAGGAATGTGGGGGAGATATACTAAAATAAAAATATGAGGAAAATGAAAAATATGTTTAATTTTTAAATCTTAAAATGGAGTTTTTAAATTTTTTTAAATTTTTTATTAATATATGTTTGCAGTACATAATGTTTACATTCCTTGTGTGGAATGGGTGTGTATAACATATCTTAATTCCTTTTTACATCCCCTTTCCCTTTCTTCCTTTTTCTCTCCCTCCATGTGTTGATCTCTTCCTATTTGAAAAAGGTTTATCTCCATATTGCCTACTATCTTTTATTTTGCTCTTCATTTATAATTTGTGTTTTGTATGTAAGAGAAATCATGTGATAATGAACTTTGTGTGTCTGATTTATTTCACTTAACATTATGGTTTCAAAGTGCATCCATTTTCCTACAGATGACTCAAGTGTATCTCTCTTTAAGGCATAGTAGTACTCAAGTGTATCTTTGATGATGACGCAAGT